GCGAAAATGTTTGAAGTGTGATGCGTCATTCCTAACTTTTCTGTGCTGTGGCTTAATTGGACACAACGCGGACGCGATGGTGATTTCCCGCAATGCTCCTCAAAGTTTTTGAAAACACAAAAAAATGGAAAAATTGTAATTTGTAACTATGAACATAACCTGTCTTCAGAAAGGACAACATATAAATAACCCATCAGGCACAGCTGATAAATATTCATTGGCAGCATATTCAGTTATAATTTTCTCACATAGCAGATAAGTATCACTGATTTTATACACATGCAACCGACTTTCTTCCTTTCACATCTTCTCAGAGATAAACACTATAGACTACTCGGCTTCACAAAACTTGCTTCCTGTAACCAAAAATGCAAGTAGTTGAGTCATTCCTTGATAGACGAATAACATATTATTTCGTGGACACCCTACGGCAAGAGTGCCAAATGGTATGGTTTGATAAGAGAAACTTGATTAGCATGGTGATGTCATTCTGAATTCAATATGGCAGCCACCACAGCATGGCGATTTACATTTTTACAGTCACTCTCACGATATACGTATCAAGTTAACATGCGAAATCTGCAGGTTCTGCAAAGCAGGATGTTGCGCACTATTGCGGATACCCCATGGTATGTCTCTAACGAAACTCTGCATAGAGACCTCGATGTCCCTTACCTAAAGGACTACATTAAGCAACAGGCGCAGCGGCGCTATAGCCTAGCGGAATCGCACAGCAACCCTCTGTTGCGTGAGTCAGTGGACTACACAGTCGAGCAAGTTCGCAAGCACAAAAGGCCGCAGCTCGCACTGTAATCAAAATTAACTCATGAACTTAGAACAACCAAAATTGGAGCATTTTGACACAATCTTTAGAAAAATCAAATATTTTTAGACCATATCAAAATCTGTGAAGTGATTTTAACAATGCCTAAACGCTGCCTATCCTAAAAGATTCTCTTCTTCCCCTTTGCTTCCGTTCTTCCTTCTCTCCTTTCCTTCCCCTTTTTTCCTTGAAATTGTCTGGTTTCTGGGTTACCAGACCTGACAGACTTACAAACTGACACTGTGACTCAAGAGCTAAGGTCCCACGGACCGCTCTGACAACCAACGATGACTTGATGATGCTGGCGGCCGCAAAATGGAGATTTACATTTTTCACAACCACCCCTGTAACATGGGTATCAAATAAAAGGGCTTTACAAATAATAGCATGTTACGTTCTGAGCATAATGATAAAAGGCTGTAACACACTTTTATTTGAAGACCTGAGAAGAAGGAGCTTTATTATCGTTTAAGTATTTCCAATGAGAACAACATTTGTTGAATTTTTAGTTCATTTGATGATCAGCTAGATAAAAGCTTGTTTTTAAAATTACATTTATTTTATTTTATTTGTCCTTTTTTCTTCAAACATGCTTTGCAACTCCACACTTCAATAAGTCTGGGCAGTAATGTTTGAACACAGTCAGATAACAAGGGGCACAAACAGACAAGCACACGTAACCGTACAGCAAACGATTGGAATCTGGAGCGAGCTGAAACTTCTCATACCAAGTATTCAAGTTAAGGACTGAATTCCAACGCAAAGGTTTTAATAGTCAAAAAAATTATTATGAAAGATTAGATGTTCATTATTTATGTCCCTTCTCATGACCTGCCGGGAAGCAATACATAGTACATTACACACCTAAGTTGAGAAGTAAGCCATTATTAATATCAATAAAGGCCTTGTCAAATGAAGTATGAATAGCGTTTACCGTAGCCAGTTCTTATATCAACGTACCTGCGCTCATGACGTTTAGGAAGTCGAAAGGACTGGACCATTTCAGTGTCACAGAGAAATAAGCTGCTAACGTTTGTTGTGTTTCCATTCTGCTAGCAAAAAAAGTCTAATACTTCTCTGATTATTATCGAAATACACAAGAAAAGTAGCTACATGAGGGTCTATACGTGATACTGGTTATTGTTATTTTGGGATAGTTCGGAGAATAAAAGTGGTCAAACTGGCATAATGAAGTTAGCAAGATACAATTTCAAATGACATTATTATTTACCTGGACGTTTTTTGTTATTGTTATATGTGTAGAGAGAGAAAAGCTACTTCTAAGTGATTTATTGGTTACAATAATGGTGTAGCGAAAAACTAACATCCTGAAATTTTATAGTGTAGGTATGCAATATTCGCCTAATCTACATCTGAGTAAACGTGGTGTAAATAACATTTTCTTTCTATTTTCATCAAACATATTGCTCCCAGGTTTCCATACGTCGACGGTAACGGAAATGTTGGTTCTTGTGGTTTTCTCACAACATCAAACAAAGGAAGCGCCTTCCGTTGATCCACGCTTATAGAACGTCAAATACGGGAAGGCTTCATTACCACTCACAAGTAAAATTACAACCGATTCAATTTATATCTGCACGATACAGTTCTATTTCCGTTTAAAGTTGCGTGATGCGGTTGGACGAAATTCAAATTTCCTGTACCTACTTGCTATAGATGTGTACTATAAAAGTGTTGTGGACGACTGTACGCCTTCAGCACAGTATAACGGGTGCTTAAGGTTCAGCTCCCACTATTGGAACAGGCAACAAAGTCAATAAAGCTCGAACCGGTAGAAATGCTCACAAACTATCGCTTTTATTAGTAGAGGTTGCATTGAGAACCAATGTATCTTCAAAATTTTCTGAAATAACTAGGTAATACCGGCCAAAATGCTAATTTATTGAGTAAACTTAAAAATAAGATTTCTGCCTTCCAATCGAAAAACCTAGTATAGTATTTCTAATATTAATTGAAATTGAGTTCCTATGTGTACGTCTGTACGAGGCGTATGAATTCGTATGCATCCGGGCGACCCGATCCGTTTCTTCGCGGTTCATCAGAGTGAGACACCTGCTCGGTGCGTGCTCTGGACGGAAATAAACATTTCATGTCTAGGTGGTCTGCTCTGTAGTAACTACGAGCTCCTTCCCACTTCAGTTGGCCCACTTAAGATTTGTACCAAAATATGCCTTTATAAACTAAACATGACGAAACTATTTACTTCTAAAATAATTTATTTTCTCAAAAACGTCTTAGATACATCACCTTTATTTTTTATTTTGGCAAAAATTTGGTGTAAAAGAATCCCATATTTCTTGAAGCTTTTGTCTCAGTTCGGTGATTGTACGAGCAGGATGTTGTCGTAGAACCTTTTCCATCTCGTGCCACAAAGTTTCAATAGGTGACAGATCTGGTCTGCTAGAAACCCATTTCAAAAGTGCTACATTATTTTCTTCCATCCTTTTTATAGCCTTTTTTGAGGTATGGCACGCTGCACCATCTTGCTGAAACACAAAATCTTGGCCGGATGTCAAGCATTCTTCAATCACTGGTAAAAGCGGTTATTCTAAAATTGCCAAACATTTGTTTGTATCCACATTTCCATCAATAGAATGAGGTTTTCTTACTCCTTTTGATGACATACTGCCCCAGACGATAATGGTTGCTGGAAATTTCACTTTTCTCTTCAGACAGTCAACATGGAATGCCTCATTTTTTTTGCGAATAACTCTACTGCGACTGTCACCAACACAAACTTCGAATCGGGCCTCATCACTCCATTGTATTGCACAACATTGTTGAGGTGTCCATTGCCTATGTTCTTTAACTCATCTATGCCGATTTTTCTTTTGCAGTGGAAATAATAGTGGCTTTCCTTTGGCCTATAAACAAGTTGTGCAACTTTTGGGTTTTTACTTACTTTTTTTTATAAGAAAACTTACCTTGCAAGTACTAAATCCCAGTTTGTGGGCCTCTCTATGAGTTGTGGACTTCGAAATTCTCCTCCAACAGCGTCACTCCACACAGCACTTAATTGTAAATAATTGGCACGCCTGTTTTTCACGATTATTCTTCTTAATGCTCTTCGGTCGGCATTTGTGATATTACTTTTTTTACGTACCGTGGCTTAATATTAACTGAACCAGTTACGTTATATCTTCTAACAATATTTTTCACACTGTACCGCGATAAGTCTAACAAAGTTGCAATTTTTGAATTTGATTTCCCGGAATTAAAAAAATTTAATTATCTGTAATCGAATTTTCTCACTAATAACCTTTCCTCTATCCATTTTGAAAACCTTAACCACCCAAAACTATTTTAAACGTATTCTGACAGCTGTGATTAATAAAAACAATTGTCATGGCTTTTATTTGTCACAGCCACCTATGCGTTATAGACTTATTTTGCATTGAAATGAAAATAGGTTAATATGCTGTAATTGGAACAGGTGTCATTTTTATGCTGCAAATTTGATTAGGGAGTGAAACAGTTGGTGTTTTCTACTATATATTATCAAAATATTCATTGTTAATATTTTAAACATATAACACCCTGCTACATTTCTATTATTTGTGTTTGATAAGAAAAAAACTAAGATTTCAATAGTTGGGCCAACTGTAGTGGGAAGGGGCTCGTACACCATAACTAACTTTAAGTCGGTGATGAGTCGGTGATAGACATGCGAGTAAGTAGGCGGACTTGTGGCTCGACAACCTTTTTCGCATGTGTGTCGCCGTAAGTTCGCGTACTTTAAAATTGCCGCGCAAGCTCGCCGCCGATCCAATCGGTTTGAAATCTTACTCGCAACTCGTCTTGGCTCGTACGTGTAACAGCACTGCGAGCCGCGAGCCACCATTTTGCTTCGTTAGTCCGAGGAGGCGCACGTGTAATGCGTGTCTGAATTATTTGATATTCGCGTTTCTTTTGTTGAATTTGGTTAACTCTAGTGTTAATTCGCAAGATGATTTTCGTACATATTCACATGAACGGATAACTGAATTTATCGAAGGTTTTAGAAATAGACCTTACCTTTGGCAAATAAAAAGTACTGCTTACAAAGACAAAAATATAAAGTTAAAAGCATACAATAATTTATTGGAAATAATACGTAAGGTGGAAAGGGAAGCCACCATTGATAATGTGAAAAAGAAAATTATGGTACTACAGTCAGCTTGAATTTCTGAATGGTCAAATCCACGGTGAGTTTAATAAACTAATAAAGGGTTTCTTTATAGTACCCACTACGTGTATCCTTTGTTCGACAAGTTACAATAATGAATGATATTGTGAAGTTATAGTTAAAAAGAAAATGTACCAAAGTATTCAGATAAGTGATTTATTTACAGGTGAACAATTGGCTGACAATATGGGTAGCAACGAACAGGAGACATCTAATGATAATGAAAGTACAATCGATGCTGAGTGTAATGAGAATGATACTGAGGTAAAAATATATGAATATTATTATTATAACACTGCTTGTTGCCATGACACTGCACCGCTAGTATTAAAGTAAGTTTCATACTTTTCTCGGGAACTTTTTGCATGTCGAGTGGAAGTGTGATCATGTGTTTGTTGTAGTGGCTTCAATTCTCCATTTTGTGGCCTCATTCCTAATTCAACAGTTCCATTTTCATGATTCTCACTATCAAAATATTGACGTGGACTGTAATTGTATATTACGAGTATTTTACTTGAGCGAACCTGAGATTGCCTTTGTGGGTATGGTTTAATAAAATCTGTCCTCAAAGCAAAAGCCTCATCGCCAATAAATACATAAGGCAACTCCTCTGAATTTCCACTTGGTTTTCTGGGATTAGGAAGATTTAAACTATTAGAAGTGAATCTTTGAAAAAACTTAGTTTTTCGTAATACACCACCATCAGAAATACGTCCATTTGTTCCAATATCCACATAGATAAATTCATAATTTAGATTAGCAATTGTCAATAAAACGATACTATGATATCCTTTATAATTAAAAAAATGTGACCCTGCTCCAACAGGAGGGACTATAGCAAGATGCTTCCCATCAACAGCTCCTAAGCAATTTGGAAATTGCCATCTACGCTCAAACTCTTCAGCGATTGCTATTCATTCTTGTTCTGAGTTCGGAAACTGTAACAAAAAACTAGAGTCAGTAATGAATGAATAATGATAATGTTTTAATTTACAGATAACCAACCACAACCTGTCTAACCCTGCGACGCCTTCAACATCAACTGCATCATCTACACGTCGTAAACGACAAGCCAATGAAGAAATTGCAAAAACAATATCGTTGATAGGTAAGAAATTAGAAAAGCCTGATGATGAATACGATGCTATTGGAAAAAATGTCGCACCTAAACTTCGTAATATGACTGCTACTCAACAAGGCATAGCTGAAAAACTAATCAGTGAAGTAATTTTTTTTGGACGGTTTGAAAAATTAACTTTTAATACAACTATACATCGTCCTGGTCCAGTCCAGGTACCCCAAACACCATTAGTACACATCCCAGCTGTTCCAGTACAGATGCAACAAACAGAAGCACTTCACTTGTCACAAGACTCGCAAATTATTAGTGTACCGGACACCCTGATTGAATATTTGAACTTTAATAAAGACTGATTAGTAGACTATTAGTATTATTTTTTCATGAAATAGGTAAAAATGTACACTACATACCTTCAAATATGTCTTCAGTGCAGAGTAAATTGCATCGCATGTCTCAGGAATTATGTTTCCCAATGACTGTCTTGATATTACTGATGAATACATTAAATCTGTATATGTAGCATCAGTTATCAAAAACCGTGATGTTGCACTTAAACGTTCATGCGGTGAAATAGCTTCTCTCATGCAAGTATCCTGTTTAGCTATAATTGGTGTAACTAAGCGCAAAAGTTCTTCGTACACCAGCTCAGGCATTCTGAAATAATTATGGAAGTCTTCCTTCTCAAAACGTAACACTCTCACTAAATTCACATGTGATAAACGTTCTCTCTTCGTAAGCCACTTCTTTACCCACACTTTTCCATTTCGTTTTTTCTTATTAGTTTGTAAAATGTAATAGGATATAATTCCTAAATAACGCAAAGCTTCTTCCGTCGACGACGTCGCAACACAGTGTGAGCCAGCTTCTCGTGTGTCACCGACGTCGAGCCAAGTAAGTTCACGATCTTTAAAAGTGTGTACTTAAAGATTGTACGTCTATCACCCACTTAAGGCTGCAATGACTCATCGATGTTCACGTGAACATCACCCAACCACTGGTAGTCGGGTTGTCACTGGCAGGCTATTAATTTTTAATGTGGATGAACTTGATTTCTTTTATAATTATGTTTAATAAAAAAGGAAATGGTTTGAAAGATGTTATAGATCAGAAATTTGGAGAATATCATTGTCATGTTTTTTGTTCTGAATATCCATGAGCTGATTGAGTCTACCTCTATTCATTCGTCGTCGCTTCCACTTCCATCTGAAAATAATAAGCTGTCGTCATCGCTTTCTTGATGAGTGACTATAACTGGGTCCTTGATGCGTCGATGTTGTCGTCAAGTTGCCACATTTGTGTTTCCTTCACAACATGATGGACAGCAGTCTGCCAGGCTTCAGGCGTTAATAGCTGTATGAAATTATCTGTCAAAGCCTTGATGTCTGGTAATTTAAAAGTTGTGTCATGGCATGGAGTATAACCATTCACTTGGGCCCAGATAAGCTATATTGGGTTCAGTTCACAATGTTAGGGCGGTAAACGCAGTAGAGTGACACCGAAATGACGGAACATTCCAAAATCACCTAGCAGGTTTGTGATATTCAATTGTTTCGTACATTTCACGCATGAATCGTCAAACTGAATGCCCTTTTCGCGCAACCATTGCTGCATCTCACTTTTTCAAGACCCCATATTTGGTACACGTTTGGCTCGATGACTGTGGTAGGAAGCATGATCCATGACGATCACAGAGTTGGGTTCAACTCGCTGAAGCACCCCTTGAAACCAGCGCTCGAAGCAGCTGGCATACATTTCGTCATGGTAATCAAATCCTTTGTTAGAGACGAAAGTCAAGTTGCATCATTCTAAAAAGCCACTATCACTGCCAATATGTGTAACGATCAATCTTTGACCTTTCCCTGACGGTGCACGAAGACCTGTTGACAAACCTTCAATGCTTACTCGTCGGTTATTTAGTACATTTTTGTTTGTTCAATTTTTTTTAATTGTGTGACCTGCATTTAACCACGTCTCATCCAAGTAATGTAATTTCCTACTCTGTCATCTATATTCAGTTATTGCGCGTAGGTATTTTTGTCGCTACGTGACTATTTCAGGTTTCTCGACCAATCCTGACTTACGCGTTACGTAACGAAAATTAAGTTCATGCAGGATTTTCCTTAATACCTCGACGGTCACTGGGGGCTATAATGTCATTACTCTCGATGTTTACATGTATATCCTGAAAGGTTGGTTTCGTTCCTTCAAATGGAACTTTGGATCAGCAGTAGCTCCAATTCTCTTGTGTTCATGCACCACCCTGCGAACAGTCCACTCCGGGATGCCTGTCATGCTTTCGCAACGCGTAAATGCATCTGCTTGCGACATATGTTGGTAGTCTTGTTCAAATAATTGAACACGTTGAGCACGATTTCTTGCGCGTCCTCTTTCAGTACCTTACGAAGCTTTCCACTTGCTCCTTGGCTTCCAGTACTTCACTCCCAGTCTCCATGATTATGGAAATATAAGTATAACCAGAACAATAACAACAGAAACAACCAAACAACAATTCTTCTAACAACAAACAATATCACGCGGTAACTGGACTCTCAGCGAAACAAGTTCCAAGCACTACTATTCTACGCCAATCTATCGGGCCGCGTGGAGTCGATGGGCCCTTGTTCGTGGAACCGTTGAGGCGGCATCTTATCTCAGGACCGGAATCAATGTTCATTCTTCCTTTCATTTAATTATGGTAATATTCATACGCGTTCCTTACTCTTAGCATGTTTGTTGATTTTTACTGGTTTTAGTATTTTATTACAAGTAGACAAGCTCACCAGTGGAAAAACTACAATACGTTATGATTTTTAAGCCCACAATATCTTCTTTAATTGCAAAAAGTTTCAAATGAGATATTTTCAAAAAATTCAAACTTCTTACGAGTACTAGAATAAGCCTACGGCTTCACCCGCATGATAGTCAATAGCTTTACAAGCAAACAGGATGCATCAGCTACTCGTTCATTGTTGAACAGCTGAATCGTAGTGCAAGATCCACATTGAGTTAGCAAAGAAAGCTGACTATAATTTTCTCGGGATAATAAGTATAACTTGGCGAATTTTCACGGGATTTCGTGTCTTATGAAAATCGTTATTGTGGCTTGTTAATCAGGGGTCGCTATATGCTTCCGCGGATTTTGTAGTTCTTTTGGAGACCCTTATTTTCGTAGTACTAGTTTATGTATGATCCACCATTTAGGCAGCGTAACCAGTTAAAGTAGCCCGATCTTGATTTTTAAATATTTTGATTGTTCGAGCCGATCGCTGGATGGAAGCTTTCTACTTAAAACCAGTTCAAAAATTTCTTAAATCGTTTTACTCAAGATTACTATAACAAATGAATGAGATCTTGTGAGCATAATCCAAAAGTTAAAATTGTAATAAAGAAATGAATCAAAACAGTAGGCTCATATTTTTCCAATTTTTGTTTATTAACACTTGAATTGAATTATAATATCTCAATGTTTGTCTAGATGATTGTGGGACATAATGTGGCCCGAATAAAATGTGTATTATTCAGAGGCTGCCCTTAGGGCGGAGTTCTGTCACCCCTACTGTGGTGTATCGTGGTGATCGAACTCCTCGTTAGGCTCAGCAGTATGGCTGTCTACGCGCAAGCCTATGCTGATAGCATAAGCATAGTAGTTAGGGGGGCGTTTCTGTAGAACAGTCTCGGAAAGACCGAGCTGATCCTATTCACTAGGAGAAGAAGGCTTGACGGGCTGGTCATGCCGACCTTCTTTGGGACTAGATTAATTTTGTCCCAGTCAGTGAAATATCTGGGAATTATCGTGGATTGCAAACTGAACTGGAGAGAGCATGTGGAATACAAGGTTAGCAAGGCTCGAAATTCGATGTGGGCTTCTAGACGTGTTGTCGGGGTAAGGTGGGGGCTTAAGCCCAAAGTGGTATACTGGCTCTACACGACGATAGTACGTCCATCTCTCTTGTATGGCTCCCTGGTCTGGTGGCCTTGCATTAGAACTGAGACAACTAAGGCCAAACTCAATAAAATTCAGCGTTTGGCCTGTATTAGCATTACAAACGCAGTGCAATGGAAGCTTTGTTGGATCTCCCACCGTTGGATCTGGTGATCCGCGGTGAAGCGAGAGTAGTCGCTCATCGACTGTGGAGTCAGGGCAGCTGGGCTTTCTTGAATCCTGTCAAGGGGCATACTGCCATCTTAGTCGAATTAGAAAGTTAGGACCCCGTCCTTCTAAGCAGGGGTGATCGTATTACCCCTGAATATAGCTTCAACCGCAAGTTTATTGTGGAGTCTCCAACGAGGGAGGAGTGAGACGCCGGTAGCCGGGGACTCACCGAAGTGAGCGGGCAGGTCTGGTACACGGACGGCTCGGTCACCGAAGAGGGCTCGGGTGCTGGGGTCTCTGGGCCTAGAACTAGGCTATCTCTGCCTCTCGGTGGATACACCACCATTTTCCAGGCGGAAATATTTGCGATTCTGGCTTGTATATCTCACATTCTGGAGGAGGGTGGGCCTAGGAGAAGAATAACAATCTTATCCGACAGCCAGGCTGCAATGAAAGCACTAAGTGCCTGTAAGATTACTTCGAGTCTTGTATTGCAATGCAGGGAGGCTCTGGATTGCCTCGCAGCGAGGCATCCGGTATCGTTAATATGGGTACCGGGGCACGCTGGGATAAGGGACAATGAGACGGCGGACACTCTGGCGAAAACAGGATCAGCCAGTAAGCTCGTTGCTCCTGAGCCAGCTCTAGGAGTGACCGCATGAAGCTAGGAAGAAAATGGAGACGTGGGTTGCAAGACAACACTCTCAGAAATGGAGAAGTATCTCTAGACATCTCCGCCAGGCACGAGAGCTCATTGAAGGGCCCAGTGCTAAAGATGGACGCTTCTGCCTATCTCTGGATAGAGCCAACCTAAGGTTGCTGGTGGGACTGTTGTCTGGCCATAACACGTTAAGGCGTCACCTGCACGTGATGGGGGTGGCTGAGGATCCCTTGTGCGAACGCTGCGGAGTAGAGGAAGAGACCTCGGCGCACGTTTTGTGTCGCTGTGAAGCTCTGAGCTACTATAGGCAGACTATACTGGGGTCCATTACTTTGGACCCTCAGGACGTCAAGAAGCTTAGACTCAAGGCGATTCTCAACTTCGCTAAA